GAAGGGTAAGAACATTCTAGAGAGAGAGAGATGGAAATAGTTCAGGAGGGAGACTGAGAAACAGCACACTTTTTTCCCCTAAATACTGGCTCTCAGCCTTCTGTGTCCAGATTCCAGAAACAGAGCATCACTGAAGGAGTCTGGAGCAAGACCAGTTATTTTAAAAGGCTTTTACACACATATCACATATTTAACTATGGAGATTTAATACCACAGTTTAAAAAAGTTTTTTAAAAAACTATTATTTAAGACGTCTTGAACTGATTTGTAGTAGCTGAGTCTGTTTGGGGCATGTATTTTGATATTCAACATAAATATCATACTCCATCAGTCTTAATTGCACATTTATCTATTCTAATGCATCAGCTCCTGTCCTTTGGTTTAGCCCTTAACAGAGTCTGCTTAAAAATGGGTAACAAATTACTCTAACACTGATCACCAACTAATGAGAGGCCAAATCCCCAGTTAGACCCTCCAGGAGATTTGCCACTGAGCTGGGCTTTCAGTAAACAGAATAACCCGGGGGAAGAGTGGTTTGGGGCACCTGCCCCCTGCCTGTCCCCACTGGATGGAGCTCCAGCACAATCACAGCACTCTTGGGACTTAGGAATCTCTGAAAAGATGCCATTTCTGGAGCTTTGAAGAAGCAGGGCCCTTCAAGGGAAGGTGGGCAAGGACTCACTGGGAAACATTTATGCTCCACCAATATTTCATAGTGGTTTCACAGTGCCTCAAGGTGCAAGGGAAGGCTTTTTTCTGCCCCCCAAATTCCTCCTCAGCACTCTGCTACAGCAGGGACTACCCAAACCCTTGGTTAAGCTGGACCACACACAGAAAATCAAAACTCTGCACTTTCTCTGTTTCAAGTTACCTGATTTGCTTTATTTTATTAAATATTTCTTTAATTGTGCTTACTTTAAACTTTGGTACTCACATGTCTGCTTTGCTAAGTTGTCATTCTCTGGGTTCCCAAACCACCAAGCACTGAAGAAATAAGCAGATTGTGTTTTTTCTCCTCTGTTTCTCTCCTGCCTCCTTAACGTGGCAGTTTCTCACAGCACAAGCCAGTTTGGGTGCTGCAGGGCAGGCTGTGAGGTGACACCCCGCTGGGAAGCCATCCCAGCACCCAGCAAAAAGGAGACAGGAGGAAGCACCAACCAGTTCTGCCCGGATTTTGTCTCCTGAAACTGCCCATGGGAAGAGGCTCCTCAGGTGCTCCGGCGGGTCAGGCCTTTCGGAGAGAGGAGCTGTCACTGCTTCGGGCTGTCCTGCACCCGGCACATGTGCTGCCTCCGCCCGGGGCTGAGCTCCGGCATTTCGCGGGAGGGGGCCTCGGGTTTCTGCCCTGTACACGATCACCAGCTGTGGCATCAGCAAAGGCTGGGAGGAATTACAAGGATTTGTGGCAGTGTGCATGCACAAGGTCAGCTTCCACCTTTTAATCCTAAATAAGCGCTGGAGCTGACTGCTCCATGTGTGATCGTGGGCACTGTGAGCATTGCCAGGTTGGGAGCATCAGAATTTAAGGACAAATTAGGAAAAAATATTGAGATTTGTACCCCCAAACTTGCTGCTGCTCTGGAGATTAATGTGAATGCACATTCCATGTGTTCTCACCTGCTCTTGCTTTGTCTGGGTTTTGTAATCCTTCCCTGCTTTTCCTTTTAGTCATCTATCATGATAAGGAGTTGGAGCAGCCAATCTGGGATTGTGGGAAAAACTGCCTGAAGAATGGGCACAGATCTAAGAGAATAAAGGTCAATGTGTCCTGGCTGCTGCCCTCACCTGCCCAGTGCCAGCACACAGTCCCATTGCTACCATCTGCAGAGACAAAGGGCTTCAGGGCTGTCCAAGGATTACATTCAATGAGGAGTTAAACCAAAAATGCTGAAGAATCCCACTCTGTGTCTCCTTTTCCTGCATCTGTGTGTGTGTGTGTGTGTACAGCTCTCCAACTGTCCTTAAAAACTTCATTTTAGAGATGTGTTTAATGGAATACAAACAGCCCAATCTTACCTCATCAGCAGTTTTCCTCCATGACTGAGCAGATGTGGTACAAAGTCACAGCTACTACTTAAATTATCCAGTCAATTGGAAGGAAAAAAACCCCAAACTCTAACATTGCCAGTGGCACAGCTCTGGTATCAAGGCAGATGCTGAATTTGGAGTCAGAGCCTGACCTTAAGGGCTGGTTAAATTGTTCTGCAGAGATGTGCTCTAAAAATGCTACTAAAAAACTTACTAAAAAAGGAAAAAAGAAAATGAAAGAGCACTTTAAAAGATGATGCAGCCATACTGAGATGAAAGCATCTAGGGAGTGGTTAAAAAATCCATGCAGGAGCTGCGTGCTGGTAAAATGGATCCTGTCAAGCCTGAAAACGATGTTTGAGGCATCAGCTGCAGAGGCTCCAGGATTAACCCCAGGAGCTCCTGGCTACGACAGGCTGCAGGAACACAGGACTTCTCTGTGCTTCTGTAGTGCCCAAGAAAAGAAGTTTTAAACCAACATTAATCCTACCATTATCTATGATAGCGTTTTCCACCAGAGCCCTACAAGTTGGTATTTGGTCCACTGATTTTGTACAGTGTAGAATGAACTTATATTTGATCCAAATAATTTAACCTTTCTCTTTTTTTCCCCAACAGAACAGTGATAGGGAATGCCAGAGCTCTGCTCGCCACTCAGAAGGTGCCTGCTGCCACCAAGGGAGGTGAGGCAGGTGAGAGGCTGCTGTGCTAGACACCTGGATGAGCTAAAGTAAAACTGGAATCAGTGGCTTGTGACAGCATTTACTCTGGGGTAACTCAAAGCTTTCACTTGGGAAATATCATTGTCTTATCAGATTTCAGGAAAGGAGAGGCACTGTCAAATTCCAGGAGGATCCTAATAATTTCTAATTCTCTATTAATCTTGAATCACAGGTGATATACATTGGCCAGCTGAATAAAGAGATTTATGTATCATACCTTGTTCCTAAGAATGTTTGACACAGTATTTGGGGCCTTTTTGCTACTTGATGAACATGTGAGTTTTTGGGGTTTTTTTGTTGGTTGGTTTTAACAACAAGATACTGGTTGCATAAAGGAGATGTTTCAATGAATCCAGATCAGGGTTCTGCAGATTTATCTTCCCTGAAACTATGGAACCTTCAGCTGAGATAATCTTAAGATGCAGATGTTAATTTGTTGAGTTTTCTGTTCAGGGAGGTGGTGCAGCTTCACATCAGGGTAGTGTGGTACATGGCAGGTATCGTGTGCGTCCTGCAGTGACAGAAGCCCAAGGCTGCAGACCAAGATGCTTTAGATCCATTTCCCTAAACAATCTGCCACAAAACTGTGGATGGATAGATATGTTAAAAAAAAATTAAAAAAATTCTAGCTAATTTTTGTTGGTTTGGTTTTTGTTTTTAATTCAGTCAGAGCTAAAATAGAACCATTCAGACTGAAAGAAGAAGGTTCACACACTCTCTTAACCCAAAATGACTCAAGGCCTAAATTAAACAAACCCAAATGTTTTGGTTACTATTTCTGTGCAACAAACCTGTATCTTCCAAAACACAAGTGCTAAAACTGCAGGTTTCCACACCTCTTGGGGCACACCAGGCCAAAGAGACAGTCCAAGAGGAAGAAATTACAGGGTTGTGTCTTAATGGAAAGTAAAACTAATCTTGGAAAGACTTGGATGCAAACTTCTACACACAGCAGAGCCGGTGGAAGACTCCCTCTGCCTAAAAGGAGTGGCCACTGAAGGTGCCTGCAGAGCCCGGGGGATCTCCCCTGCCCGGCTCAGTCAGACCCGGGCTCAGGGATCCCCCTCCCACTGCCCAGGGACGCTCCCAGCACAGCAGGATCTGCCCATCCAGGAGTCATCTGGGGAGGGAAGGAGACACGAGGGGAGGCCTTCAGCACTCAGATCGCACCAAAACTCTGCCCTGTGTCCAGCTGAGACCAGCACTGGGCAGGGATGAGCTGAGGGCCCCCGGAGAAAGCGGAGCTGTGCGGGACCCCAGCCTGAGCAATCCCAAAAAAACAATCAGGATTTCTTTTTCTGGCCGTGCAGCCTGGCCAACCTACTTGTGAACAGGCACAAGGCATGGGGGAATGGACAGAGCAAGGGGGTTTCTTAGTTTGTTGGGTTTTTTTAATGAAAATAAGAACGCAGCTCAGAGAAGTACTGGAACATTCACTCATTGTTTAGTTAAAATGCTTGAGAGCTGCTTCTAGAAAACTCAAAAACATAAGACCTGTTCAGGCCTCTCACCTTTTTTCTATCCTGACAAATTGGAGGTATAAACCCCCCTGGAGCTGTGCTGGCCCTCACAGACCACAGCAGGGCAGGACAGGGGGGTAAGTGCTCTGCATTCCTTCAAACACTGCTCAGGAAAGTGTCTGGGCTTTGGCAGATTTTGACCCAAATGCTTATCCTGAGGCAGGGAGCCCAGCCAGCTCCATGAGAGGAGCACAGGAACACTCACAGGCAGTTCCCCCCCCACTTCACACGTGGCACTTTGCTTTGGGACACAGAACTGCACTTCAGCCTGACTGCTCCGTGACACCCACTGAGAGAACAGGGCAGGGGGCACAACCCAAAACATGGGGAATTTCATCCCAGCACAAGAAAACACTTTTTTACTGTGAGGGTGACTGACCCCTGGGAAAGCCTGTCCAAAGGTTGTGGAGAAGCTGAAAACCTCAGTCCTGGGCAAGCAGCCCTGGGTCACCTGCTGTGACAGGCTTTGACTCCGTGACCTCCAGCAGCCTCTTCCAGCCTCAGCTACTCCCCCCATCCCGATCCCTACCACAGGGATGCTCCCACAGGGGGATTGTCCCCCCATTTCCCAGCTCTCACTGCCACCACTTGCTCCCAGCCCTACAGTTCCATGCAGGCTCAGTGTTTGCTTAAGGCTGTGTTTAAGCAGGGCTGGAAACACACATAAACCCCAACCCTTGGCCTTGTGCTGACCAAGCAAAAAATACTTAAAAGAGATCACAGAACATGATTTAAAACAGCCTTCAGTCACATTTTTATTACATGACTTGTAATTGCCATTATAATGATGGAGGCACAGTCTTAAAAGAATAGAAAGCATGAGAAAATGTTTCTAGATGCAAAGTACTGTAACAGCCCTGCATTAACATTCCACACCAGCATTCACTTCTCCATTCTTCATAGCAAAATTGAATAAAAAAAATTCTCAAGTTTAAAACATTTTGTTGGAAGTTCTAAGCAAAAAAATAGGCATAGTTTTTAATAAATAAAAATGTTTACTTGCTTCAATTGTGTTGTCAACTTCACGTTCTTTTTTTTGGTATAAAACTTCAAGTGTTTTGAACTCTTAGAAGTTTAAATAAGTTTGGTAAGATTCAAAGAGCAACTTTTAAAACCTGGAGCAAATATACTTTTTTATTAAATAGAGCACAGGTTTTATAAATAGACACAGAAAACAATAAAATAGACAAAGGAGTAATACAATTTTGTTTGTAACTGTGTGTTTCCAAGTGATATTTTAAATTTCTGAATCCAAACTGTCTACAACAGGAATAAACCTATTTACATATTAAAACATTTACATTTAGCTCCCACATTATTCCATTTGCACTGTACATTCAAACTGAAAGACATTTTGGTTTTTCAACATAAAGCACCTTATGTAATATTTTAATCACAAGATAAACATTGTGGAAGTCATTAGCACACCTTTGGGGAGTGTTGGACAGACAACCTGCTTTCAAAGATCTGGGTTGAATTTATCCCAACCACCTTGTCCCCATCCATCCTTGGGCTCAGTTATTTCCTCTCCCCAGGGTCTGGTCCTCTGGCTGTCCCTACAAGCTGCTCTACATCCCTCCCAGCCAGCATTTACTGCTCCTTTTTCCCTGATAATCATCTCTGCACATCATTAGGTATCCTGGTTTGGAAAAGGAGCCTTATTTTGTTGTAACAGGATCAAACACTGAGTTTCACAGAAAATGGTAAACATGGAAAAACATCTGTGTTGGGACAAGGTTGGAGATAAAGGCAGCAGTCTGCTGTAAACATTCACCTACATACAGTTTGGACAACAAGAGGCAAAGTGCTCTAAAAATATACTTGGAAAGAGTTTAACAAGTTCTTCATGCTGCTTTATCTACCAACCAGGAATTTAGCCCTGAACCACCTCCCCATTTCCAGCAGGAAGAGCCTGATGTGTCATTTCCATGCCATCCACTCCACAACCAGCACCTGGAGCCCTGAAACTCCCGCCAGGAGCAGTGACTGAGACCACCCACAGCACAATCAAAACCAGCTAAACACTTCCCTTTCACCTGCAGAACCGTGCCAAGAACAACACCGAGAACCAGGGTGGATAAACAAGGAAACTGAAATCCTTGGAAACAGTTTGCATGACTGTGAAGCACTAAAACCCATCATAACATGATTAAACAGCCGTCGGGTAACAATCTGCTTTGTAAGAACAGCTCTGCTGCTGCAAAGGGAGAACACCTCATGGAATGGCTTTGCAGTGATGGATCTCAGCATGTAACAACACTACCTATTACATACAGCTATAATCTAATTTTTAAAAATACTCTGTTTTCCTTAGAAATATTAAAAATCAAAAATCCTGCAACAGAAATATTTTGTTTCTTAAACTAGCGGAAGCAACACATGATGCTGTTCTCCTCACTGCAATGTGAGTACACTGATTTACTGACAACAGCCACAGCACAGCTCTTCTGCTCTCATACAGCAGGACTTTTCTCAGATAAAATGCAGAAGCTGTTTACTCATGACTTTTTACACACACAGTCTAGGCCCTGACATCAGGCTTGAAGTTAAGAACCAGAACATTACAGAGATCTCTTTATCACATGCCAAACTGAACCGAGTATTTCTCCTCCACAAGCACGACTGGTACATGTTTACACCACGGGCTGTACTTCCTAATGAAATCCAACTTCACTGATCCCAGGAATTGCTGCCAACAGCCACCTCAGCAGCAGGCTCAGGGAGTAACCAACAGGTAACCAGCTACTGGGTGATGAACACCTCTTTTCTCACCAAGGGTATTTTTAGTATTAATGATTTCATGATCAAAACCTGCATTTTGATATTGCAGTTCAGTAGCAAACGAGGACTGTCTCAATTCACAAAGCCTGGATCTGAACAGTGCCAGCAAAGGGGGTTTGCATGAACCCATGGAGGGATTCTGAACCATTCCTGCTACACAGACATTTATCTTTAGAAGGAAAGACTGAACTGTAAAGATTTTAAAGGTAGTCTGTGTGACAAACTCTCCTGATTCATTTAAGGAGTGCCAGCAGCCACTGGTGGTGAGCAGTAACTACACTGCCTTCCCAAATCTGAACACTTTGGCTGACACCACATCACACTGATATTGCATTCACATGTTGCAGAAGTTTTTGGCTTAGGAGAGGCTGGGAATGAACAAACCTCCCAACCCAGCCAACCTTCAAGCAGTGTCAGTAGCAGGAGTGTCCCAGGGCACGAGGTGCAGAGCTCAGGGTGGGTGCGACCCCAAAGCTCTCTGTCTGTGCCCTGCAGGAACCCGGATCACACGGGGAGATCAGCTGAAGCTCAGAGTGTGAAAAGCTGAAGCCAGATGTTTACAAAATGAAAAGGCATTTGAGAGGAACCACTTCTGGCAGAAGGCAGGCCATGGAAACGAGAGGGGTTCAGGAAGTTCTGGAGTAAGGCACATCTCTCTGCAAACAGAACCTCCAGACTTTGCAGATGCAGTAATTCACACTTTTTCAACACAGTACTGAACTCGACTATGCATAAAGCAGCCTGGTATAAGGCTGGGAAATATTGTTCTGGTTCCTTGGTTTCCTTAGTTGTATTTTGACAATTTGCCAAAATAAATGCTATACTGCAAGCTTCATGGAATGGGAACACAGCCCTGTTTGTCAGCATCAACAGCTATGCACCAGATTTTTTGGTAAGTCTAGATTAAAAAAAAAAAAACAACAAAAAATACTCTGGAAAGTCACTGCAAAAAGTACCTCTACACTGAAGAAGAAAGACCTCCAGAGGGATCAGTACATGCACAGACCTCAGACAGCTGTTTTGGTTGTGTTTTCATTTTGTTCCAGGTGTTTTTCTTTGTTTTGCCCTAGTGGGGGTGGGAGGAGGGGGTTCAGGTCTCTCATAAGGCCGTGTCATCGTCCTCTCCAAAATCCCCCACCAGCAGCGAGTGCTTGTCTGGCTCGTTGAGGACGATGCTGCTCACGGAGCGCTTGTCTGAGAACAGAGAGTTTATGGAGGCTCTGCTGTAATGCAGGATTCGATCCATCAGGCTCAGCTTGGGGGAGCCAGGCCCAGCCTCATCAATGCCAACGTGGACACTGATCTCTGACGGGCTCTTGTGCCTCATTTGGCCACGGGCCCTGAACTCCAGTTTCTCAGGTCTTGGTTTCTGGTACCTAGGGAAGGAAAAAACAAAATATAACAAACACCTCTCAGGTTGAAGTGAAGTACACTGAAATACAGATAAAACCTGCCTATGTGTATGATTGTGCCCAAGCCAGAGCCATTTATAATTTGACTGACAAGGTTTCTCACAAATCCACAAAGGCCATAAGGAATTTTCCATTCTGAACATGCTTCTGATTTGTACATCCCTCTTCAAGTTAGAAATGACATTTTTAAGCACTACTGCCTGCTAAACAGACCTGCCTGAACTGTTCCTCAAAAGGCTTTGAAATCTCTCATAGTCCCACCCTTATCTTTTGCCACTCTAAGTGAAAGATCCAAGCTTCAAATCTGTCCCAACTCACATCTTTAACAGCAAAGAAGACAGCACAACAGAGACAGAGGAGGCAGCCATTGCTGCAGATCCCATCCAGGGCTGCAAAACCAACCCAATGGGCAGGAAGACACCTAGAAAAGGCAAACAACAAAAAGTTCAGAGCAGGAACACTCCATTATTCATCTATTAACACCTAAAATTTCACACAGACTGCCTAGTTTTAGTTGCATCCCAATGCGTTAATAAATAGGATTTTAATTTAAACGACAAATATTTAATACATAAGGATTTGTGTTCTATCTCAACTGGAACTTCAGGTGAATTCACACCTGGGCGTGTCACCTGCACACTCTGAAACTCAGAGGAGAAATGTCCTGCCCACCCTGCAGTAAACTGCTTGTTCACAAGGTCAGGCTCATTCAATAAACCTTTTATCTTGAAGTTATTTTGATGTGTTGAGCATATCCAGAGTAGCCACAGTGTGGGAGGAGGACAGCTCACAAACACCCACTGCAACGTGGCCAGGCAGAGACCTCTGCCCTTACCAACAGCCAGAAGCAAAGCACATGGAAACTCTCCCCTCCAGCAGTAAATCACTGCAACCTGCTACTCACTGGGCCCAATCTTCTCAGTGCAGGGAGACACTCACATACCTGCAGCTATGGGAACTCCAATGAGGTTATAAATCAGAGCAAAGACAAAGTTGATCCGGATCCTCTTCACAGTTTTCCTTGATAAATCTATGCTTGCTACCACATCCATCAAGTCATCCTGCAAGTTATGTTTATTGGAGAAGTCAGAGAGAAAGAAAGGCCCCCATGTAGTGTCTTTATACTCCTGTTTTAAAGCTAAGTCCCACACACCAGGTGTCACAGACTGTAGTAAGTACTCTATAGGCTGCTCTAGTCTGTCTGCAGAGCCCATACAGTCAGTGCCAGTCTTATTCCAGATGTCATCATAATCCAAGTCATGTACACAGCACCTCCCAGTGCAGCTCTAAGCACTGACCACAGTCTCTGCCCAGGTGTTGTTGATATGGAACCTCGTGACTGTAAACCTGGAGGCGCTGTGGGACAAATACAATTTATGTTTGCCAAAGATTAGGTCACTTTTTCCTGTTTTGCCCATTCTCAAACTTTAATTACCCCAAAAGGTGCAGTAGCCAGAAGACTGGGGAGTTCCCTTTGCAGGATAATCACCACCACACTGAACAGACGTGATGAAAACAAGCTGTGCTCCAGTTCTCCTGGTTTATGGAGGCTGTACGCCTCAGGGGAGATCTGCATCATTCAGCACACCCAACCCCTCCTGTCAGCTCACCAACCAGGCACTTTTCTCTCTCACCCTGATGAGCACCACGTCAGCTGCCTCGATGGCCACGTCGGTGCCGGTGCCGATGGCGATGCCCACGTTGGCCATGGCAAGGGCCGGGGAGTCGTTGATCCCGTCCCCCACCATCGCCACCCGCTTCCCCTCGTCCTGCAGCTGCTTCACTTTGGCCACTTTGTGGGAGGGAAGAACCTCTGCGAACACTTTGGTGATGCCAACCTGAAGAGAGAGAAAGGACACGACGGTGTGGCAGCTCTTCTAGCACCTCTTAAAGCTTCTGCCTGGAATAATGTGACTGGGAAGGGTGAAACCTGTGAACTCTTGAGCTAAAGACAAAACCCATCACAGTGGATGGGTTCATTCAAAAAGCCTCCTTGCATTTCCTCCTTATTCCAAATTTTTTTACGTTGCCATCTTTCACAACAGACCAGTTCTATGCCAGCCACCAGCAGTATCAAGTGCCACAATGAGCCCAGCTTCAAACCCAGACACAGGAGCAGCAGCTCACCTGAGAGGCAATGGATCGAGCTGTTTTGCTGTTGTCACCAGTCATGAGGACAACTTCTAACCCCATGCTCTTCAAAGTGTAGACTGCCAGCTCAGCCTCTGGCTTCACAGTATCAGCAATAGCTATCAAGCCACACAGCACTCCTAAAAACAGAAGGAAAGTGTTTGTAATGAAGATGTTTACTGCTTCAGAGGGAAACAAAAAAGTAACTTTTTTCCCCCCAGTAAGACCAGTTCCAAAACCAGTAATATTGACAATAAGAAGCAGAACGAGAACAGGTATCAGGGCAGCAAAGTTTAAAGCAATACAGACCATGGACTATCCAACCAGAATAAAAAACCCCCACCTTTCCTCTCTTCCCCTTTGCTCTCTTTGAACTCTATGCTCATGTCCAACTCTCCTGTCAGCTAAGAAAGGCATGACAAGGTCTTTCTCATAGGAAAGTGCTGCAAAACTAGTTAATGATCTCTTTTCATCCCATCATTCTGCTTCAGGTATAACTGCCATTACATCACTAGTTGATAATTCCTATTTATGGGATATTTCACATGGTATTTAGTGACAAATGAAGCTCAGAACAAAGCAGCAGCACCACGCTCACCATCCACAGCTGCCAGAACGGCCGTGCGGCCCCTCCGCTCGTGCTCCATCATGGCTTTGTCAACCTCACTCCTCACAAGGAGCCCGTTCCTGGTCATCCACTCCCGGTTCCCAATGAGAACAGAGTATTTCTGAGAAGTCATGGTAGCTGAAGGAAGAAAACACAGTCCTACCATCATATGGACTAACCAGGGAGCTTCCCTTCAGCTCATCCCATCCGTGTTCTCCCGGCGTGCAGTGAAATAGCACTGCAGAGAATTCAAACAGAAATAGTCTTTCTTAATAATTCCTGCCCTCCTGAACTCCTCATGTGTTCCTGACGAGAGAGACACCAACATTTCTTCAGTGCTGGGTAGTTACCGTGTCAGAGGACCAAAAATCCCAGGTCAAACAACAATAAAGGACCAAGTCCCCCCCTCAGCCCTTCTAATATCTATGTAACAGCCCAATGCAGTTGAAAGAGATCTGACAATGAGTGAAAACCACTCAGTTGTGCAAATGTACATAATTTTGGCAAGCAAGTGGTAACTTGGGACAAAGTAAAGCAAAACTAGAGAGAGCTGACAGAGAACTCCTGTATGATTTTCCAGCCCCACATTCAATATGTAACTTGAAATTGAATTTATTTAAACGTTTGGAGTGATGTGTGAGCACAAAATAAACTAATGACCAACTAAATAATGTGTGCCTTGATGCCAGCCCAGTTCTTCGGGACAAAAATAAGTGACCTTACTCTTGAGGATCCTAAAGGCACAAAAGCAAAAATTCTTCATTTTATCCTCTAAGCCAGAATTAACTTACTTGGTAGCTCAGCATCAATAATCAAAGCAGGTTGCACCGATTCATCTGTATTTTCCTCAATTTTCACGAGAGTTGCATTTTTAATATTGTTTTCTTCAACCATTCTATTTTTCCTGTAGAGCAATGCTTCAATATTGGTGACTTTACAACTAATGCCACAGCCTGGAACTACCTGAAAATCTGTACATGTTCCAAGGGTTTCCAAGTCCAGTTCCTAGAGAAAAAGGATGGAAACAGAGGAGGTTTTTAAACATATATAAAAGCATGTTCTATTTACAAAGCCCACAAAATAAAGTGCACTCGAACAAACAGGAGGAATCATCAAAATCTAACTTTGAGTACCCATCTAATATGGCATGAAGTGCTTTATGTGGTCCCACAATTTTCAGATTTCCCAAATAAATACAGTAAGTACTTCATATGTACGGATAGTCTGGTGTTATTTATGAAGTACTGCAAGAGAGGTTCTTCTGTAACACAAACTGCTCTTCCCCTGTGTAACTAACTCACCTTTTTGCAGTACTTGGTTATTGCTGCTCCAAGGGGGTGCTCACTGTTACTCTCTGCAGTCCCCACTATTGCCAGCAGTTTATGACAAGGCAGTTGGTTACCCTCCACCAGAAACTTCACCTGCATCACTTCTGGAGTCCCGTGGGTGATGGTCCCTGTTTTGTCAAACACAACCACCTTCACCTGCAGCACAACAGGAAGATTTTTTTCAGTGAAACAAACTTTAAGGTACAGATTCCTCAGGAAACCACCGCTTTTAGAGAAACCTGCTGACGGGACTGACGCCTGACACCAGTGATGTGCACAGAACGATCCCGGGGCTCCCTGCTTTCAGAGATTGAAAGGGTTCATGATTTATGCATTCTAGGATTGCCAAGGGACTTTTGCAGGCTTCTGCAGGACTTTTGCATTATACCTCTGATGGCCCATCAAAGCCCATTCCCCCCTCCCCCGCTAATCTTGAAAGGCAGGAAAAACCCTTTTGCCAGAGCCCTCCTGGGAACTCAGCTCAGACCCAGGAGATGTTGGAGGCTCCTGGCATGGCCCGTGACACCAACCATGGATATAGTAACTCACAACTTCTTTGAATGTGGAGGCTTCTCTCCCCCACCCCCAGTGGATCAAGGCCACCACTTCAACTGACAGACCTGGAAGCTGCAACTCCCAAGTCCCATCGCTGGACCCCGTGGGCAGTGACTATGGACACCTGTCCACTCTCAGCTTTTCTTCCCTTACTCTCCCTTACCCTTATCCTCTCTTTCCTTTCTCTCCCTTATGCATTTTCCCCCCAGGGGTTATCCCTACGATAGATAATATAGATGACAACACCCAAAATGCTGACATACCTGTTCAAACAGAATTGTTAAAATAAACCCTACCTAGATATGTTTTCACACACTGATTATTCAGTGTCGTTTCACTCTAATCCACCCCAGGGGAATTATTGATAAGAACCTGGGTTACCCTCCTCCCCTTGTTCTGGGGCAAGTGTGGGGTGAAGTCGCAGCCCCACAATTGAAGCTTGAGGGGTTTGGAATATTACAAAGTGTTGGGCCGTTTTCCATGAGAGCAGTAAAGCTAATTAGATAGTTCCCGTGGACACAGCCTTGAGTTATAAAGAGCCCAAGGTTAAAGCTGTTTGGCTGAGTGCAGGTGCTGCATGCCTAAATGTTTTTGCAAGAATATGTTTATATTGTACGCGTGAGAAAGCTGAGGGGAGGGATCTCAACGAAAGCTGCCTGCTACGCTGAGCAGGCAGACATCTCTCTGTCTCATCACCCTCTTGTGTGTCGTGTGTCTTTCTTCCCCCATGGACCAAGACCTACCGACAGGTGCCCAAGGACAGACCTGCCACCTGGGGACATTCCACAGCCTGCTCCAGCAGCAGTTGGCACACACCGGCGAGCCCGGGCCGGGCGGCCCCCGCAGCAGTGCCCCCTCACCTTGTGTGCCATCTCCAGGGGCTCCCCCCCCTTGATGAGGATGCCGTTCTGGGCCCCCACACCCGTGCCCACCATGACGGCGGTGGGGGTGGCCAGGCCCAGGGAGCAGGGGCAGGCGATGCACAGCACCGTGATGGAGGCCTGGAAGGCGAAGCGGACGATCACCTCTGCCGAGGAGAGGCTCTCGCTGGAACCCTGCGGGGGCACGAGCCGGTCAGAGGAGGAGCTGGACAGTGAGACAACACATCCAGCTGCACACTGCCCTGGGTGTTGGAAAAACCTGCGAATTTATCAGCTAAAGCATTAATATTGGAACTGAAGCACGGGCAAATTATAAAATAGCTCAGAGCAATGAGTAAACTCATGACTAAGTTCTGTTCTACACTGCATACACCCATGACTGTTTCATTTATAGGACATTTTCCTAAACAAGGTACCCCATGCCATAACTTTCACCCTCTAATGTAATACAAGATACTGTATCAATACAGTAAGGAAAAAACCACAACCAGATATTACATGAAGATTGCTTTCCTGAAAGTAAAAAAATTCTAATCAGAAGTAGTCTTGAACCAAGAGACCTGTGATCCAAGCAACCCTAAAGTCCAGGCTGGGATCCTGACCCTCCTCTGGCATCTGTAATGAAGATTAATTCCATGATTCCCAATATGAACTCACCTAGAGCTCTGCTAACAGAGTTGGATGCAGACTTGGAGCTTGTGACACAAGGGACCTCTTTTCTCCACAGAGAAGGAATGGATGGTGGGAAATTTTTTTGATTAACTCTTTAATTTTTTTAATTAACTTTTTTTTTTTTAATACTAACTTCAAGGAGTTGATTAATTACTGTGGATTCTTTCTTTAAGTATAAATGTAGGAGTGATACAGTGTAAAAAAATACATAATGTAAAACTGTAATAACAAGAACAATAATAGTCAGCAACTGCCTGCAAGGACAATTCAGAAAGGGAACCACTGCAGTCTAACACAATTGTAAGGCTATTTATTAAATATTTCAGAAGGTGTTTAAGGAGATTTACTTACCAGAAAGTATTTTTCCACTATTCCAAAATCTACAAACCCAATTATAATCCAGGCAAGAAGGGTAACCACAGAGACAGCCACAATAAAAGGAACAAAGTAGCCACTAAGTTTGTCTGCAAATTGCTGGATGGGAGCCTGGGAAGGAGAAACAGGTCACTCAGCAGGATCATGGTGACTCCCTTCTGTGCCAGACACAGTCACAGCTGCTGCAGCACACTTGGCTTGCCACAGTTTATAATTAGAGACTGACTTCATAAAAGGATGAGGTTTGGCACAGGAGCCTGTATCAAAGTCCTTAATCAGCAAGAACCTTCATTATGCAATTCAAATCTAAACAAACTCAGCCACTCCTCAAGTGATGTGGTGTGCTGCTGCCTAATGTGAATTTGACAATACTCTACCTTTGAGGTCTGGGCCTCCTCCACGAGTTTAACAATCTGGGACAGAGTGGTGTCAGCCCCGACGTGGGTCGCGGCGATGAGCAGGGACCCGTTCTGGTTGATGGACCCTGCAATGACTGTGTTCCCAGGCTTCTTAGTCACAGGCATGGCCTCACCTGAGGGAAGGGCAACAGCAGAGTGCTGAAAAACAGACCTTTGTAACAGCCACCATCTCCTCACGAGAGTGAGAACATCAGTTCCACCCTCCCTTCTTCACGTTGGTCTAAAGGAGAACGTTTTTACATTGGCAGAAAGCAAACGCTCACCTGTGATGAGAGATTCATCTACCATGGAGTGTCCTTCAATAACACGACCATCCACGGGGAATTTGCCTCCTGGGACCACTTTGACAATGTCACCCCGTTGAACCAGCTCAACATCGACTTGCTCTTCACTGGAATGATGGAAATGTTCTTTAGTAAGAGATGTAACTGAAGTGACCCAGTGCAAAAGGAGCTGTCACTACACACAAAGCACAATCCCACTGCTTGACACAGTTAAGCATACAAAAATTAAAACAGAAAAAAGGCCATTTTAAAGAAGACTATGACTTTTATCATAATTTTATTTACTATCCAGTTAAGAAAATCCACTAATTGTCTTATCACAGCAAAAAACAGCAGTAAGTCAATAAACTAAATTAGAGCAGTGTTAATTCTTCTGCATTTTAACATTTTTATCTGCCAGCAAATCTGAAGTTATTTGCTTCACGGTTCTATCGAATGGTAACATTTATCTGTGAATTAGGCATATTAACAGCAAAAAAGGAACAACAGAAAAAGCAAATGACAAAGCAAGATACCTTAAAAGAACGTTATCAGGGCCCAAGGTAACAATAGTAGCTTCAGTAGCTTGTAATGAAATTAGTCTTGCCAGGGCTTCTGAGGTTTTACCCTAGAATAATAATTTTCATATTTTTCTGACTATACTATTGAAAAAAAAAAAAAAAGCAGGGTAAATGACAACTGCATGTGTTGCAATTTACCCTGTTAAGAAAACACAGACTGATAATAAGTCATTTCATGTTTTTACTAGTTCAGTTACTAAAGATGATTTTACAGCAAAGAAGGTTAAAAGAACCTAACAAAGCTTTTCCACGGGACGTTTTTAAATATACATGACATTCTGAAATGATTCCTAGTCTTGCAGCTTGTAGCTATCCCGGATTTCTATTTTCCTTACCTTTGCCACGTGCTCCAGCCACCGGCCCAGCGAGATGAACACGAACAGCATCGGGGGGGTGTCAAAGAACGTGACAGGGTTTACTTTTGCCTTCTCAGCCATTGCCACCAGGAGAATAACGAAGGAGTAGAGGAAGGCGATGGAGGTGGCCAACACGACGAGCACATCCATGTTTGCAGTGCTGTGTTTCAGCGCCCTGTACGCCTGGATGTAGAAGTGCCACCCTCCAAACACCTGCAAGAGAGTGTATTTTACACACACTGGTAACTCACACAGCAGCATTTCCATGAGAGAGGGAGACACGTGTGACTTGTGTTATCTGCCTTCACCATCTCTTCCTGAGCAAAATCCCAGCTCTAGCCAAGGGCTGTGATCTCCTCCACAGCACTCTCAGGCACTCCCACCTCCTCCCCGTGTCCACTGGTGTGGCTCAGCAGCTGCCTCAGGTGCTTTTTGGGTGCCCAACCCCTGGGCAGTGACTGCCCTGCCCAGGACAGTCTCTAGCACCAATTCTTTTGGCAACAGCAAAAGCACGTAACAACCTCAAAAGCGTTTTGCATCAGCATTACACTCACTTTTCAAATTTACTTTCTTCATAGTCTTCCAGTTTGAGTGTTTAAACCCAACAAACCAGGAGTTGTCATAATCCCACTTACCTGTACAGGGACACAGAGCAAAAATGACAGAAAATTCATAACAGACAATCCTGGCAGGAGCTGGTAATCCAGGACCATGGAGGAGTGAGAGGCCTCCCTCTCCTGGCTGCTCATGTTGTGATGTGTGTGAGCATCCGAAGGATGACTGTTCATCACCATCATGTAAATCATCAGCCCCATGACAGGGATACAGAAAACAAAGCTCACGACAAAAGACCTTTTCCACCTTTGGATTTAAAAAGAGAAAGAAGAAAAACAACTTGTACTGCAGTCAGGTGCTGGAGAACTTTTTAACCAGCAACTCTGGACAGTCACAAAACCCCCCCATAGATTCACGGGTGATTAAAAAAGAAGAATCAAAGATATTTACAGAATCTAAATATGGTTAGGAATACTTACTGTCTGATTTCCTGTTTGTGATCCAGATGACTGGCAGATCTATCCTTTTTGACTAAGGAAGTAGTGAAACCTAAATCCTAAGGAAAAAAAGCATAATAAAAAAGAGAACAGTCAGTTTTAAAATACACTTTGTGGTCAGTTATTGCCAGATTACTGGTATGGTGCCAGCCTTATCTTTGATTTACTTTATTAACATTTCTGATACAATAGTTACTATTGTTTAGTTACCTTCTAAAGAGAGAAAGCAATTTGTTGTAAAAATCAACCTTTCTAGAATAAAATGCTTTTCTAAAATGTGGCTTTCCAAAATGGTTTTTCCCGAAGCACAGACATAGAGAAATGGAGGGAGAAAGCTAAGAAACATATTTCACCTCTCACCTGCTACGGTATTAATTTTTAAATAAATGTGATTTATTTTTCTACAAACCTATAGCTGGTATCTCCAACTCTACCATAGCCTATTTTTTATAGTATTGCTGTTTAAAGGTTTTAGGCAAAGTTGTAACAGAGCGTTTCTGAGCCAGAACACATGTATTAGTTACAAAAACCTGCACTAAGAAGAAAGCAGATGGAAGAAGACAGACCTATTTTTTTGCTTTAATAGCCTTCCCTTCTGTTTCTGGGGTGTGTAACTCTTCAAAGGATGCTGTATATTTGATGAGACTTTGGCACCTGAATGACTCTCACCTTTATCACTTGTATAACATCTCGAGGACCAACAGCCTCAGGGTCATATTTGATGTGTGCTTTGTTGGTTGCAAGAGCTACTGAGCAGTATAAAACACCATTAGTCTTCATGAGGGTGGATTCTATCTTGTGCACACAAGAAGCACATGTCATCCCTCTCACCTGAAAAACAAAGGTTCCTTTCAGTTATCAAAACCACAGCTTATCTGGTAAATGCATCTTAAAAAGCAGGAAAAGTCCTTATGACTATCCTTCCTTATTTATTGCTTTGCTCTGGGGTTTGAAGCAGTGAGATGGAGCTCCAGCTAAGGATGAGCTATAGAATCACAATAGTTTGGGTTGGAAGGCATCTTAAAGACCATTTAGTTCCAATCTGCTGCCATGGGCAGGGATACCTCCCAAAAATCGTGTTGCTCAGGGGCCCATCCAACCCTCCTAGAGGAAGCAGAGCATGGAGACAAGGTTATTAAGCCCTGCTAAGGCTCTGTTGGCTCTTCAAGCTCAGAGCTGGGTACACAGAGCCAGACTCACCTTCAAAAAGTAAATTCTGGCAATAAGCAGAGTAATCAGAAAAATACAGGAATGTTTCTCCGACTTCAGTGTAGTAGTAGTGAGCCAGAAGAGTTTGCAGGACCAGATACCATTTGTGACACATACCTGAGGTACTCTTATATTTTAATTTTTTTGTGAATTAAGCTCTATTATATGATTAAACTTTAGGAAGTGGAACACTTGCACAAGTGCACCCAGTAGATAAAAGTAACAGAAGCTGAGGGTGTCAGGTTTTAATCACTAACTTACAACAAGTTCCAGGATTCCATCTCCTTCACCACAGTTTTCCATCACGGTGGCTCCGAATCCCAGCTCCCGAATGAGCTCTGCAATGGCTGAAGGGTGTATGACAGCAGGGTTATACCTCACCTCTGCCTTTCCCGCCATCAGGGCAACAAGGATGGAATGTATTCCTGGGAAACAAAACGTGTGAGCAGCAGATCAGGTCTAGGAAAATCCTGCACTTATGGTAACAGGAGGGCATGACACAATTTGAAATTGGGAAAGGTACCATATTGCAAATCAAGAAAAACATGTTCATTTTTGGAAGATACACCAACAACACAACCACAGCACCTCAGTGTAGGTGTGACTGATGAAAGCACTGCTGCTCCCCATGAGTGGCATGTTTCTAACAGTCTAATTACAAACATTCTGTCCATGCTATATGAAAAGATTATCTATTTTTACTCCAAAGTAGTTCTTCTAAAATACAGTGCTATATCTTTCTCTGATCTGCATTTACTACTTCTAGAAGCCTTTTCTTCAAGGGAGAACATGCACGAGAAAGGGCAGATCTAACAGTCAATCCTATTGTACACTGAAAGGATTTAGATTCATCCATTTTCTAGGATGAAAAAATTAAAATCCAGGTTAACCTGGAACACATCTACCTTCATTACAATAATTAAACACAGTCTGCATTAATGACTGTTTGCTACATCACAGTCATGCAGCCGTTTGTTCCTGCAAATATAATCAGACAGACAGGCATGCCCTGACTGCCAGAGCTAAAATTAACTTGTGTCTCTTTAATCCACACTAATACTGTCCCCCTCTAATAACTCTCTCCCCAGCACACACACAGTTGTTTCTGCCTTCAGCTGCACACCTGGGCACCTCCCTCCAGTAGGAAAGATTTGTTTTCCTTTCAAAAGGATCCATATTTGATCCCTACACTCTTTGGAGCACTCAGGTGCTGCTTTTGTAAGGGCAGTCCCTGGCCAGCATGTCCATAAAGCAGCAAGAATGACCCTGTTCCCATCCCCTGGGCCAGAGGTGAGCAGGCTGTTCTCACACCTGGAACACCTGCAATGTCCTTCTCCTGACAACCCAGCCATGAAAAACGCTGTGCAAAAGCCAGATGGATTCTCCAAACCAAACAGAAATGTAGCAGCTCACACTGACACACATCTTACCATCTTCCCTCCTCAAATTCCTCTCGATGTTGGCTACACACGAAGCACATGTCATTCCTGTGACCTGGACATAGCACTTGGAGATGGTCTTTGTCTCCTGCCTCCCGAGGTGGGCTGGGGGCACTTTGGAGGATGGCTCAGGTTTGTGAGAGTCCAGCTGTGCTTCAGGTGAGGGCTGAGCTGTGGCCACAGGCAGTTCTGCCTTTGCTGGAAAGGAGATTGCAGTTCATGACCTCAGGAGCAGCCATTGCAATGAGGTGTGAGCTGGCATTACAGACTGCTCTGCACTTACACTGAAAATGGAAACTGTGTGTGCCCTGTCAGTCAGACCCACCCACCTGTCTGTGGATTCAGAGTCAGCAACAGAAAACAAGACAAAGGGTTGGGCCACTGATTAACTCACTGTTTTGTTACTGGTTTTCCTTTAGCCTTTCCTCACTGTCTTTGTTCTGTTGCACATCCTTTGTCCTCTTCTCTAGGCTGTAAGTGGAATGTCTGCATTGCAACCTTAGTTTTACACACAATTTTATTGACTTGACCTGGAGCACAAAGCTGAATCTGTAAGCAAGTGCATGTTTCATAAGCAAAGTCGGTGATTTTGACCTTAGAGAAGGGCTCTGGAACTAGAGACATCTGCTCCTTACAGCAATCCAGGGAATGCTGTGCTTGTGCAGGAACAGCGCAAAAGGAACTAAATGGGAGCACCCAACCACTTCTTCAGTTATTGCCATAAAATAGCTCATGTACTGTATTTACTGATATTTAATCTTACTGAATCAACAAGTGGAGCTTCCCTGTTCCCTCAGGAAGCCTCTCTTCATATTGCTGGAGGTGGGGGTGAGAATCTGGGAGAGGCACAGCTAGGACAGCCAACCCACAAGGATGGACAAACATCTGCCTGCCCATGGGAAGTAATTAACTAATTCCTTGCTTTGCTTGCAGGAGCAACTTTTGCTTCACCTATTAAACTTATCTTTATCTAATCCACAAAGTTTTTCTCTTATACCCTTCTCTTCCCCCTCCCACCATGGGGAAGTGAGCAAGTGCTGAGCTGCTGACCAGGGTTCTCCCACAGCATCATCATTTTAACATTCTGAGTGATGTCCACTCTCTTCAGACTCTTGTCACTCCTCAGTCATGCCTGAGCCTGGTTAAATCTCCCTTCATTAGTTAGTCCACAGGAGTCAAGACTTAGATAATTCAGCATTAAAGAAACTTCAGCACAGCAATCCATAATATTCTTCACAGCTAGCAAAGCTACAATTCCATATTCATGCCATGAATATTATAAAGCAGCAAATAGGAACATGGAACATCAATATTTATCTGACATTTATATTTCCAGGCATCTCAATTATTTTAATTAATCTGATGCATTAAAGGCTGTGCACGTATCTCTAATTACCTCACTGGCAGAGAAGACAGAAAGCTTGGCAAGCACAAAGTGCGTGTCAGCTGCTGAATTTCATCTTGGGTCGTACCAAAGGCTAAAAAAACTGGACAATCCTTTTGAATTTAAAAGTTTAATATGTTATTACCTGGAAAAGAGGCATCGAATCCCATGTCCTCTATTGAGGACCGCAGGTCTTCTGGGCTTGTTTGCAGCGGGTCATATTCTATAGTCCCGTTTCCATTTGAGAGAGAGACATGAATGGATTTCACACCTGGCTTTTGGGATATGACTCCCTCGATGGACTGCACACAAGAGCTGCAGGTCATCCCCTCAATATTGATCACAACAACTTGAGTAAGTGGCTGGCTGGGATCCTTCAGAGCTGTGTGAGATTTCAGGGGAGACGCCAGCGGGGGGAAAAGTGCCAGGTTTTCACACTCCTCAGGAAGGCTGACTTTGAACGTCTCTGGAGACACGGCCTCTATGGCTTTCCTCAGCCTGTCTATGCTAATGAAGTTTGGGTTATAGTTTATAACAGCAGATTTCTTCTCTAAGGAAACAACGACCCCTGTTACTGCCGGGAGCGCTGACACAGTGCCCTGGATGTTGAGGACGCAGGAATCGCAGTGCATCCCATCCACTCTGAACACAACTGTCCTGGTCCCAGGCCCACTGCAGTTTTCCCTCTGGGCTGGCTCAGAGCCTTTGGGCTGAGCATTCCTCAGCCTCTCCAGGTCAATGGCACTGAGCTTCAGGGCTCTGGGCTGCTTTTTGAAGGATGCTGCGAAACCCGCTGCTTCAATTTGATGTTTTATTTCTTCTGCTGTAATTAGGTGAGGCTGGTAGATAACAACAGCTTCCTGATTGTCCAGAGACACTGAAATTTAACCAATAAAATAAATTAACCAACAAAATAAACGAACAAAAGTGTTTTACTGCCCTAAACATAACGAGCACATCAACAGGTCTTGTCAAGGCTTTCCAAGAACACTTTAAATGGTCATAGAAGCAAATGCAACAGAAAAGAAATTTCATTTGTTTGGTAAATACCAAAAGTTAGTTCTTCAACCATTTTTTTGTCTAGTACTACAATAATTTTCAACTCCTCTTTTCCTCAAATTTTTGCTCTTTCCCCAGGACTTTCACAAATGGCATTGGTACTTATTAAATTTACCCTTTTATGAGGTTCTGTGGCAATACATTAATGCCAAAGCTAATTATACAGATAAGTTGATCTTGCCTTTTAGATACAATTATATACATGACAATACAAATTTTTAATTTAACAGAAAAGATAAATTAATATTAATTAAAACATAAAAATGACATCTTGTATTAGAGATTTCTGTAACTGGTAATAAAGTTATGGAGCACAACTGCTCCCAGTCGAGATACAAAGCAACCACTGAATACTGTCACACATGTAACAGCAACAGCCTCCCCGCAATTTGGGCCCATTTCTTCACTTCTAGTTCAAATTAAACGTGTAACTAAATAGCCAGTACCACAAACAGTCACACTCAGCTCTCTCACGTAAACACAAGGCATCTCCACAATGCCATCAAAGAACAGCATGGCCAAATGACATGAAGATACACTAGGGTTTCACCTCTAACCCGCTGAATTCCTTGCAGTTTTCCAAGCCTGCCCTCGATGGTGCTGGTGCAGGAGTGACAGGTCATCCCGTCCACCTTCAGGCGCAGCACAGCACTGCTCGCCTGAGACCAGACGGCATCTTCCCAACTGCCAGGGGTCACCTCTGCTGCAGAGAGATTTAAATCTACTCCTGGGACCAGCTGGATAATCTGTCTGCCATTTATGATGGAAGAAATGAAAGTCACCACTGCAGTTTTTTGGTCAGAGGAGACTTTCACATCCAGGATCCCTTTGTTCTTCAGCAGCGTGGTACAGATCTGTCTGGGTGTTAGGGCTGACTGGGGAGGGATGGTAAGGAAAATAGTGTCAGGTACAACAGGTTGTGGGTTTGAATCAGCCAGTGTAGCATCAAATCCCATGTCATAGATGGCTTCCTGCAGCATCCCTGGAGTCTGGAGCTTGGGGTCATAAATGATGACAGCATTCTTATCCTCCAGAGAGACCTGGGGAGGCAATAAACACAACAATTTAGCAAACTGCAATACAAAGAGTTACTAATACTGCATGGGACTAGAAATTGCTTTTACTTGCAAATATTAGTAACACTTGTCCAGTATAACTTCATCCCTCACTCCTCACCTTGAGGAGCAAAGCCATACCAGCAGCCACCACCGAGTGACTTCTCTTCTGTGCAACAGCCGGGCTGGAAAGAAGAGATCCCACCCCTTCCTTACTCCCAGTTTCAGAATCCTTTCCAAGTCTGTCTGGCCACTTTTACTTAGGACATCCAGACAGCACCAACGCATTTAATGAAACTTCCAGAGCCAAATTCTCCTGAATTATGATGATGAACCCAAAAGAGCCCACAGCAAAAATTCAAATCAGGTAACAGTAATTCTAATGCAGTTAGCAGTAATTACCCTCAGGCTACAAGGATGGAAGCAAACAGTCTTTGAAACAAACCACAGCTTTAAGTAGCAGTGGAAGAAGCCCAGTATTTCCAGGCATGGGAGGCACAGGCTGGTAACTTGCTGTGAGCACAAACCTGCATCAGACTTCACTGAACAAAATTCGGTTTGGAAATCTGATATATGACAAACATTAAAGAAGCTGTTTTTCCTCTCTCTGTACATTTTGGTGATCCAGAGATGTCCTGATTTGGTATTAACCTTTCCCATTAGATGGTACAAATATCCTCAACTTAATTTTCTCCCAAGGGATGATAAATCAAATATAATAATTGCAGTTTCCAAAAGGAAAAAATGAAGCCTGCCAGAGGCCCAACACACATTACCAATTCAATTCTGTCTTTCCTCTGGGCACAGGTACAGCCTAAACATCACAGTCATGATTAAATTAGACCAGTTAAATCATTTTAAGAACCACCTCTCCTCATTTCTGTCCCAGTTATGGGCCCTTGTAGAATCAGCAACATGGACATTTATTGGTTTCATTGCAGTTGGAGGCAAAATAATCAAAGAGCAGCTGTATTAGCCATCTAACATTCCCACCCCTTGCTGACCTTATTCATAATTACTAAATAAAATCCTGTTTTACTGTTCTCAGAGAATTTTCTGAGTCAAATGATCTGACTGAACCGTAGCTCTGATGTTATAAAGAGGATAATTACTAAATACGTCCTCTTAATGTTTCTTAGAGTCCTGTTCTACTCAGACTACGTTTTTGTAATACAGTTTTTGAAACAGTGTTCAGCTTTGGGATAAGGTATTGACCTTAAAATATAAATATAAAACTCTTAATATTGTCCTTCTAAAAATCTGCTTCATTCCTTATGTAAAAGACAGTATGAGACGCACATTGTCTTGAGTCTCTCCTCCCTCTTCTATCTGAAGTCAACTGTATATTCTCAGAAATAGCTGAGAAAACACAAGGCTGACGAGATTATATTTTTTGCTAGAAAAAGGAGAAAGTGAGGATTCTGAAATCCAGTTATCTGGGGGTATTTTAGAGGCTGCTTTTAGCCTTCCTGTGACTCCACGCCGGCAGACACCCAGTGACTGATCTCACCACGCACAGAGATGCTCCAAGGTCCTGCTGGCAGAGCACAGACCCACCTTAAAGCTCCACTACAGCTGAAGGAAGATGAAAAATTATGGGTCTTGTAAATATTGCTGCTCTTCACCAAAATTTCCACGTGTGTACAGGAACATCTACTTCAGGCAAAAGGAAACTGCACTGAACCAGTGCATCTCTTGCCTCTGCAGGGAAAGGGCACCACAATGAACCCTTCAAAACCAGCTTCAGGTAATCATCACATGCAGCCCAAACTAAGATAATGTGCCCAGTCCTGTGAGAAAACTATTTGTCAAAGCCATTTCTACTAAAATAGAAATTAACTTTTGATGAAACCAGGAAGATAGTGCTTTCTTTGGAGTAAAATCAACCACCATGCAGTGCTACGGCATGTTTTCAGAACACAGATACTCAATAATTAAACTTTGCAGTTTTCTGTTGCTGATACTGATAAGACTGTTCTTTCTACCACAGATTGGGTCACAAAACTAACAGCAATCTCCCAGCTTTTAAATTGTTTCCATCAATAAATCTACTGTAAAATTATGTACCGTGTAGGGACAATCAGCTCACTCTGGAATACTCTACAGTCCATTGTTTTGCCCATGACAAAAAAAATACTAACAAAATACTGATCTCTCCTCCAAGCTAAGAAAAAGAGTTAAAACCAAGATAGGTCAAGGAAACCTGGAATAGAGCAAACCTTAAGCTCTGTGAGCAGTTCAAGATTACAGTTCTGCTGCCCTTTCTCTCATTTCCTCATGGACAGTACAAAGGAAAGGAAACTTCTAAGACCTGTCAGGACTTTCCTATGTTATCCGGATTTCCTGCTACTCTTATTTCATGGATCACAACAGAACAGGTTTTTTTTCACGGTGAGTCAACTCCCCCACAATTAACTGGACACCTCAAGCCCACAAGCATGTTTGAGCCTGTGCAAGTGACCTCCGTGCACCATCAGCTGGACAGAAAAGGTCTGTAGGCTTTTGAGCAAATACTGACATTTGTGCAGTATAAGGGACAAGGACAGCTCCCTTTTTTTCACCAGTGCAAGTTCTAGGGCTTTTGCTTTATTTTATCTTAAAGTTTATTGTTCTTGCCTTTTTTTTACTTTTTTTCCCTTTACTCCACAATACTGAATTAAATGTAAAGCAGAAAATTAATTAAGAGCAACAGATAATGACTTAGGTCCCACTGCAAGAAAGTAAGCACTTGTTTTCTCTTATATACCAGAACTACACTAATGGATCTCCAACATCAGCTTCCCCTGAAACATGCAGAATATACTCTTCTCACATTATTTTCCTCCCTTGGTGTGAAATTTTATCATGGTTTCTCAAATAAGAACAAAGCTTTGTAAGAAACAGTGACAGCATTACTCACTTTAATGTTATGGATCCCATTCATCTTCCCAACATGCTGCTCAATGGTCTGAACACAGGAATTGCAGGTCATCCCCTCCACACCGATGACCACGGATCTGGCCTCCATTGTGAATTTCTACTCCAGTCTTCTCATTGCTCCTGGCTAAAAACAAGTAAGACATTAGTTCTTAAATTTCACAAAGACTGAAATGAAAACAGGCATGTAGTGGAAGGTGTCCCCATGGCAGGGGTTGGAACAAGATGAGTTTTAAGGTCCCTTCCAACCCAAACCATTCCATGAGTCTGTGATTTAACAAATGCCATACTTAGCCACATGTCACTCTAGTAGACACTAAAATATGAGCAAAGCTGTACAGAAAGATACTCTGAAGAGTATCATTATTATTTTTTCTCATTAAAACATGCCCAGAAAAAATTACTGAACCTAAATGAAATTAATTTGTAGAAATAACAGCTAATGCAAAGGACTCCTTTTGCCAAATGAATAAATTATTTAATGACTGAGGGAGAAAGAGGGCAAAAGAAATGATTTTCAGATTTTTTTTCTTAGCATTTTGAAAATCTGCATTATTTTTCCAATGACAGAGAGGCTAGTGAGCAGGAAAATGATCACAGTTAATGTCTGGCTGCAATGGAATCACAGCAAACTGTGATGCCTAATTGAAGAGCTGAAGTTAAGACCTGCTTAACTCATTTTTCTTATCCTGAAGACCTATCTTGGAAAACTAAATTACATCAACAATGTTGAGTAAAATTAGTTTTCTTGCTCCTTGGTGACATTTCCAAGCTGTTCCCTGTTACAGAAGGTCTGGGAGTTTCTGGTTTCACTTTGAGTTGCGTTACAAACCATGTAAGAACACAAGAAGTTTCATCATAGAAACAGGTTTTACCTCCCTGATGCACAAAACTAAATGTTGAAACTTAATAAACAAGGAGCAAAGACAGTATAAAACTGGGAATTAGTGACTTTTTCAATAGATGAAATACATCTCAACCCTGCTAAAAACAGAAATAAGACAAGTACATCTGAAGAGTTACAGATCTCACTTCTCACACACACAAATGTTTGTATGTAAATATTCACCCATTACAGAAATACAAAATTGTCATTTGACACACAAGAATTATCAATCAGCAGAAGAGTGTATTTTAAGCAAATTTCATATAGCAGGCCCTTTCTCAGACTCATCTGCACACTTGGAGGTACTTTAAAAAACTCTGTAAGTCACCCAAGAAAATACTTGCTTTCATGTCATGTTGAAATGTGATCCTCCCTGATTACCTCAGTTCTTCCCTAAGGAATGCTCAGTCCACACAGAGCAAACAAAGACATCATTGTAACTCCACAGTCTGGGAGAAACTGAATATTCCCACAAGCCTGAAGTGCAAATAAAGTTGCAAGAAGTACTTGACTTAGAGTGCACTTTGTGAACACAACCAGGCACGCAGGACTAACTAAAATGAGACACAACAGACTGTCACAGACAGAGACAGCCTGTCCTCTAGTCAGCTTTGGACAGACACGAGTTTAAAAGCATTTCAGGTACATGATCAACTTGAACTGCCCTGACAATCTGCACAATTACTGTATTTGGAAAACAAAAATAAGGAAATACTGTAACTGTGAGCTGCTACCTAAAACAATCAAAGGTTGGCAAGACGCTGCTTTAGAACCGGGAAAGAGCTCTAAGGCAGAGCCTGCTGACTTGCCTGTTCTTTGGCAAACTACAGTACAAAAATATTCATTTTTACAGAAACTAGGATACTGTGTTCAAGTTTTTTTTGAGGTGCTATGAGGAAGTAACAGCAGCCTGTGGCTAGTGAACCAGCACTGTTAAAGAGATTACATTCACCATCAGCACTGCTACCAAATGCCCACCAACACATTAAAAACCCAACTGCTTACATATGCAAAAATAACATTACACTTTTTCCCTATCTATTATTATCATAGTTTGTACGCACAAAGCATTTCCTACATTTTCTCAGTCTGCTTCCTTGCCCTTCTGCTGTTCATTCATAAACACAGCAGAGAATACCCTGTCCTGGAAGATACTGCAATTCAAACATGCAAAAAGCATAAAGACATAAGGAAAGAAAAAAAGGCAAATCTCATTTTCCTTTTTTACCCCTCAAGGCCCCAGAATACCAGGACTGAATCCAGAACTTCCACCAACAGAATTCCTCTGCTGGACCAAGCTGTCTCTTCTTTCTGTTCTCTGACTTTCAGTTCAGAAGCACCCTGGCTGTCTGTGACATGTGCATCACTCACAGCTCTCTGCTGGCGGGGAATACGACCAACAAGGGCTTTTATTGACATTGTTGAAAGTTGCTAACAATTTTTATATTCATTTTAAAAACAGGCTGTTCTCTAAAAAATGAGACGCGTCCAAATCTAAATAAGCCATTTGAGAGCATTGCTGCCTCTTCACATCAGTCACATTATATTATTAACACTGAATTAAGAACCAGCTCATTAACAATCTCAGTTTTCTGTACAGCCTTAATGAAATTTCTGAAGACTACATTGCCTGAATTTCCAGTGTTCCTGATGCTTCAAAGAAATCTTGTTCTCGGAACAAAGTATAGGTTTAACAGTGACTCTAAAAATACACACATCCCTCCTCCTCCCCTTACAAAATGCCCAGGACAAGCAGTTAAATACATGCTTACAGCTGAGGCAGTACCTTGTCATATTCCATTCCATTTCTAATGCTCTGCCTCCCTCAGAAGTGCTTCCTGGAAAAAATACTTCAGCTGAAACTTGAAAGGAATATTTTTGTCATATTTCCTCCTCCTGACAGCATGAAATTAAGAAAATTCATAACTAAGCAGACTGAAAAATATCTGTTGCACCAATAAATCATAACTAGATGCACACAAGAGGTGTATGAATAATAAGAATTTAATTCTAGTTCTCCTTGTATGTGTTCATATTTTACCAAATTCACATTAAAGCAGATGTAGAAGTCAAAAGATCTGCATGAGACTGTGCAGCAATCCATGGATACCACAGCAATTGCCTGAACTTGGAACACGCTGTGTCCTCACTCTTGCCATCCATCACTCCATCTGTGTGATTCCTCACTCCATTTTTTATACATATATATATATATATATATATTCATTATCTGAAAACAGAACCCCATCCTACAAAGGACAGCTATGGTTCTGGCAGATGCAGCTGAAACAGCCAACAAACTTCTTCAACACCTGAAAAGCTTTGCAGGTGCTGAGAAGTATTTTAAAAGTTGACCAAAGGTCTCAACTACTGACTTCAAGGCAAATGACTGCTAATAAATAAATTTAAAGTTATCACGGATATATCCGTTTAAGTTAGAAGCTAAGTTATGGATTGCACGTGTTTTAGAGAAAAATAAAGGTTCTATCTTAAGCAAGGCATTGGTTCATCTATAAAACACCTTAACCATCAATTAGTAAAGCATTTTAGGATTTGACAACACAAAGGAATGGCAGTTCCCCTGACAATTTAACAGCTCTGTATTTAGTTTCATTTTCTTGAAGAAAGTCAGCTAGTGTTTCTACGAAGAATGAAGCAACTGAAAGAAGTAATTTCTACTTCCAACAGCAATTTCTTCCTACGGAAAGGAAATTTCAACAGTGAAAAAGCACAAGGTGACTGAGACACTCATATTCATCTCAATATTTTTGGGGGATGTGCTAACAGCAGTCACTGTAAGTAAAATATCTGAAGCAAATAAGTTTGATGAAGTCAGAGGTAAGTAATTCATAAACCCACACTATCAAACAAAATTAAAAAAACCATAAAGAGGCAACACAAAGAGGAAGTTACAACACTGGTAAAACTGCAGAGTCCCACTGAACCCCACAAAAACCACTTTGGTGCTTCTCACATCCGAGCTAACCCAGGCAGCACAGTGTTCTGTTCTGGGATCAGCAGGGACACAGAGTGGGGAAGGACACCACGCTTCTGGCTAAGTGTACAGCACCAGCTTCCACCAAAGTTCTCTGTATATAATTAGATTTTACATTTTTATATGTAATTTATAGCTGCTGAAACTTAGAGGTAAATATCACACAAACACCAGAAACAGAATCTGTCAGGTTTAATTACAGCCTTTGGATTTTATTAAATTTCCAAATGGCCAAGTGCTACTTAGCTCACTATATTAATGGCAGCAGAAAGCTAAATTACTAATTACTTTAAATGGAAAAAAGGTGCCTGTTCCTAAAGGTCTGCAGGAACCTGTGGAAAAGAGCAAAGGGCAGCAAGAAAGGAAAAAGCTGCATCATCTCACAGTTGGACTTAAAAAGTGCTCCAGAAGATGGCATCCAACACAGAACGAGATTTTATAGGATTCACGGGCAAACAGAGCCATTTGAAAGCATGACTAGATAGGAGATATTCTGGATACTCTCATGGATATACGAGGCTTAATCACTGAGAGAGAAACTGTGCATCTGTAATAAATGTCAGAGCTACGTGACTCTCTAAACAGGCTGTATTTCATGTTGCTCAAGACTCTAACAAGCCTTGCTTGGTCAGCAGACAATGGAAATTGTCTCAGGGAATTTATTTCTATACAAACTGCATGGGGAAAAAAAAGTACATATTGAAAACATTCTGCTTCATTTCTAACAGGAGTTTTATAGCACTTGAGACAAATCCTTTGCAAATCCTTTTGTTTTTTTGTAAGCTTCCACTACCTCTTCAAGTCAGATTTTTGGAGAACATGAATGTTCCCTTGGAAGAAACACAGCAAGTATTAGGAGTAGAATATAATGTACAAGCTCTTGTTATGTGAGCATACTAAGGCCAACTAGGACTTCTCACTCTTCAGCCTGGCCTCAAACTACTTGGCAGAACAATGTGAAATGCATTATACAAGTGAAAATAATAAAAGAGTAAATGACATGCAATGCTAACTTTCGCTTCCCTGATTTGCCACCTTGAAAGTAAAACACCTTCATGACTTTTCTCTATAAGGAAATACACTATAATAATTAATTTCCAATCAAATTGTGTTTGTGCTCACACAGTGCATTGTAATACACACAACTACCTCCCACATTACCAAATCTTGGCCTATTTACTTCCAGAAACACAATTTGACAAGTATTTAAGTACAGAAATACAATCTTTGCTGACTGCATGAAAGATTTTAAGCAACTTTACACTAATTATCTGCAATTCCCAGAACACGCACAGAGAGGCAACAGTTACAGCTGTTTTGCTCTTGCTCATTTTCACAAGATTTTACCCCAAAGCATCACAGACAACTTCCTGCTCTTTTCCAGAACATTTATACTATGCTTTTAATGAAAACACTGGAAAAGAGGTACTTGTGCAGAGTGCTGCCATCAGAAGGTGGCATAAGGTGACATAAGGCAAAACGCTAAGTCAGATGTTTCCGCGGGACAAGTCGAGCAGCTCAGAACCGGAAAACAGGCCCTGGGAGCAGAGGCTCCGTGTGCCTTCACATTCCCGACGAGTCTCTGCCGACTGACAAGAGCTGAACGGGGCCTTTTCCAAAGCACCAGTGAGAGTGCACCAGACATTCCTGCGTCCCAAGGAGAAGGAAATGTGGGTGCTCCCTGACAAGCAGAGCCCGCCCGCTCCCCGCCGGGCACACCGGGCTGAGCAGGACACGGCCCCGGGATGGGGGCACCGGAGACCCTCACACGGCCCACGGCCCCTCCGCGGGGCTGCACAGACCCCGCCCGAGCCAAGGGCTTCTGGGGCTCGGACCCTCCCCGGCACCATCTCCCCCCGTGTCCCGGCACCGCGTCCCGCCCGCGGCAGCGCCGGGAAAACCTCCCCGGGACAGCGGGATATCCCCCGCCCCGGTCCGTACTCCCCGGGACAGCGGGATATCCCCCGCCCCGGTCCGTACTCCCCGGGACAGCGGGATATCCCCCCCTGTCCGCACCCACCGGGACAGCGGGATATCCACCCCCAGTCCCTACTCCCCAGGATATTCCCCGGTCCGCACTTCCAGGATATCGCCCCCCGGGATATTCCCCGGTCCGCACTCACCAGGATATCGCCCCCCGGGATATTCCCGGTCCGCACTCACCGGGATATCGCCTCCCCGGGATATTCCCGGTCCGCACTCACCGGGATATCGCCCCCCGGGATATTCCCGGTCCGCACTCACCGGGATATCGCCCCCCGGGATATTCCCCGGTCCGCACTCACCGGATATCGCCTCCCCGGGATATTCCCGGTCCGCACTCACCGGGATATCGCCCCCCGGGATGTTCCCGGTCCGCACTCACCGGGATATCGCCCCCCGGGATGTTCCTGGTCCGCACTCACCGGGATATCGCCTCCCCGGGATATTCCCCGGTCCGCACTCACCAGGATATCGCCTCCCCGGGATATTCCCGGTCCGCACTCACCAGGATATCGCCTCCCGGGATATTCCCGGTCCCGATCGCCGCTCCCGGCCCGGGCCCCGCCGGGCCCTTCCCCCGCCCCGCGCACGTGACGCGCCGGTCACGTGCCGTTGGAGGGCGGGGTGGCGCAGCCGCGGTCGCGATGGCTGTGGCCCTGTCGCGACAGGCACCGCGGGACAGCCGCGGGCGGTGCTGCGGGGCCGCTCCCGCACTAAGGCTCGGCCTCGGGAGCAGCCGCTCCCAGCCCCGCACGGGGCCCGGCAGCGCTCGGCGAGGAACCCCCGTTCCAGTCTCCGAGGAGCGAACGCGGCCGTTTCACACATCTCCGCGGTATGAAAACCAGCACCCTGGTGCTTTGCAGGGATTCACACTGAGTCGGAGGTTTACAGAGTCTGCATACACCTCACATCTATTTCCTAACAAATCTTGAGTGCCCACGGCCAGGTTGGACTGGGCTTGGAGCAGCCTGGGCTAGTGGAAGGTGTCCCTGCCCATGGCAGGGGGTGGGACTGGATGGTCTCTCACGTCCCTTCCAACCCAAACCATCCTGAGATTCTCTGATAATCCACTACCAGCATGAACCAGTAACTGTTGTTTTTCCACCTCATTTCTCTAATAACTTTGACCCTACACAGAAGTTAAATGCAGAGGCAGGGGGTTGGAACAAGACGGGCTCCCAGGTCCCTTCCACCCCAAACCAGTCTGTGATTCCATAAGAGTTCACTGGGAAAGTCACATTTCTCAAAACTGCCTCTTTCCATGGAGCCTGACTCAAAATTGAATTTAGTTTCTTCACACCTCAGAGGCCACAGATGCAATTACTGGCAGAGTGATTCAAGACATAAGAGTCCTTCTGTTGAAAAAAAAGGGATCTCAGCTTTGTCATTACAAGTCAGAGGTAAAGGGATGTGCACTCTGCAGTGAGAGTGCAGTGAGGTTGATTTACACACACATCTGGCCAAGTGGCCAACTCAGCAAAGTTCTGGATTTGTCCTTAATCCACTGGTGAACTTTACAGGAACAACTGGGATTACCTAAAAGTACTTTAAGTTTTTACACTACTTCTTATACTTCATCAGACTCTGAGCATAGAGGAAACCTGGAAGAGCCAGACAGGTTTCTAGGTATGTTTATTAGACCAGGAATGCCACTGCACAAGTGGTAATCAGGGAACAAATGCCATTACGGGACCATTTTCTCAGTGAAAGTTCAGAGCAGTTCATTAGAAGCAGAGGCTGTTACTCCCTCCATTCTCTTGGAGTGATTCTGCCAACAGGTGACAAGCCCCACTCCATTCCAAGCTGTGTTAGCACCTGTAAGAGCATAAAACCCAAGATTACTAACTCTGAAATTAAGGAAACCTTCCAAAAGAGGGCTATTTCTATTGCTTTCAGTTTAGATTTCTTGTATTAGAACACAACACCTCATTAATTTTCTAATAAAGCAAGTGGAATATATTTATATTGAACAGTATTTAAATATTTCAGCTTTCTCTTTCAAAATACCCAGTTTGAGCACAAAGAATCTGGAATTTAAAATCCCATCACCATACTGGTATTTTAATCTAGAGATTTTTCTACTAAAACTCGTAGCTGTATAGGTTAGATATCCCAAGCAAAACAGAGATCACTTGTGTTTCTCATACATTTTCAAATCAGGCAACAGACTGACACAGAAATTCGTGTAACAACTCAAAATCAAGACATGAACTAACACAACTTTCACCTCTATCACATCCCTATCCATTTACAGCAGAAGCTCCTAAATTCTGACCACTGAACTTATTTCAAACAAGTAAGCCTTCATGAAACTTGATACCTTTGAAGTTTACAGCTGGAGTCACAACTGACTAGTGAAAAAACCAACTTACATATCCCCAGACACTGACGAAAACGGCAGCTCCACCAAGGAGGACCAAGTTCCCGTATTTATCGTGGAAGTTCGGCTCATGCTTGCGATGAGCTTGTCTGACTGCAGTGTGCTGGATGCCACGAGCTAAGGAATGATAAAGAGAAGCACAGAAATCAGCTAAACCACACACTCGAACCATTCACAGTCCTCATTTTCCACCAACAGAGAGGAAAGCATTAGCATTAAAAGACTAAAAAAAGCTGAAAAAAAATTAATCTTTTGGACTTAGAACTCTGGAATGACTCAGAAACAAAGAATATGCACAAATCAATTTCTCACTAGAAAGTTATTTCTTATGTCTAATTCCAGTAAAAAAACCCCAATCCTCTGAGTTACCTTTTTCATCGATATGTTTTGTTTGGGCCTTCAGTGAGGAAGTACCTTTTTAAATATTACTGTTTCTCTCATAAAACATTTTGCTTAGCGCATAACATTTTCAGATTTCCATATATAAATATCTATCCTGTCAGTATGGGAACTAATATAAGCATTTTCAGGATGAAATTCACCGTCAAATTATGGGGTTGAATATAGCAGGTATGGGTAACACCTTCCTCATTCTTTCAGCATTTTTTAAAGGAGGGGGGGGAGGTGAAGAAGGAAGTGGAAATAACTGTGGACATGAAGTAAATAACAGAGAATAAAATACAAAAAGGTATCTCCAGATGATGTACATCATAAACGCACACTATAAAGGTACATTTATTAAGGAGAAGACAACAGTGAGGAATCAAACCAGCTACAAAACAGAGATATTGTTTATAGTTGTGTACAAAGTCTTTGATGAGATAGTGACATGTGCATAAAGATAGACTTTACAAACTATAATCTTTTAGTTCCAGGTCAGTGGTCTGCATTTACCCAGCCACGAACAGAGAAGATGATGGCGATACACATCACGTTATTACAGCCCTCGCGTGCTCTATGAGGCTGCACTAGGGTTTTTTAAAACATAAAAAAGCCTGAATATCTACCGAGACACGTTTACTTTAAGTGCAAACACCTAGGGCTAAGCGCATCATGAACCAGGACCAGATTTTCGAGGACCAGATTAACCACTGGGGAATCTGCATCACTGAAGAGGTAACTTTAACCTTGAGTTTAAGGGATGGGTATTGACTATGCTTTGTTCACCTCAGGTTACAAGATCCGGATGTGCCTCCAGTTACAAGAAAAAAAAACCGCCGAGGAAGGGAATCCAACTAGAGTCAGAAAGAAAAAAAAAAAAGCAGGAGGCGAAGGACGCCAGAGCCCCTGAGGTGCCCTCACGACCCTCCCGGGAGCGCAGCGAGCCGGGGGCTGTGAAGGACAGTCCTGACGGGGAAGGGCACAGACCCGGAGCAGACCCCCTGCGGGACCCCCCGCACCCCCAGAGCCGCCCCCGTCCTTACCGGCGAGGTTCAGCGCGGCCCTGGCCACGGGGAACATGGTGCGAGCGGAGCGCGTACCCTTCACGGCGCTGAAGAACAAAATGGTCGCGGCGGAAGTGGCGGCGGGCGGGGGCCTGTGGGTAACGCCGAGCTCCTCCTCGCGGCGGCCGCAGCTCCGCGGCCGCGACAAAGAGCGCGGTTACCCGGCGGCTCCGCGGCACCTCCCCGGCACGGACGGGCTGTCCGTAAGGGGCCGGAGGACACAGAAACGGGCGCGGCCTTGAGAAGCGTGGTAAGGGAGTCCCGGTGGACGCTGCTATTGCAGTGTCAGGATGGCCGAGTGGTCTAAGGCGCCAGACTCAAGGCGTTCCGCGCCTTCCCGCCGCGGGTTTGGGTGTTCTGGTCTCCGTATGGAGGCGTGGGTTCGAATCCCACTTCTGACACCACTTTTTGTTTCCTATTTTTAAGGTGTGAATTTAAACACATGAAAGTGCCGAACTGCTAAAGCCAAGGATCTTAGTGCGAATAGAAATCAGAAATAATTTTCAGAATGTGCTCGAATAGACAAATAAAAGCCGAAGCATGAGTAAATCCCCGTGTCTCTGGCGATTTTGTTTCAGAGCCATAACCCACCACACCCAGGCTGAGGAATACCCCAGAGCGGTTACAATTTTAACAACATTTGTCACACGCAACCCAGCAAATACGTGCATATATAAGATTAAGCAAGTGCATCTGTTTTGGGGAGCTACTAATTAAGCTCTGTGGAGTTTTATTCAACATTTCTTTTCTGGTCTTGGGGTTTTTTTTTCGAGTTACTGATGTGCAAAAAAAAAAAAAAAGTCAAAATTACAAAGTTACTGATGTGCAAAAAAAAAAAGATGGGTGCCAAGAGGATGGTCCTTTTGGCGGTGCCCAGCGACAGGATGAGGAGCGATGGCCATAAACTAAAACACAAGAAGTTCCACCTCAACGTGAGGAAAAACTTTACACTGACAGTGGCAGAGCACTGGAACAGGCTGCCCAGGAAGGGCAAGGAGTCTCCCCTCCTGGACACATTCAAAACCCACCTGGACAGTTCCTGATGTTGCAAAATGTGGAATATGTAAAATTTCTTAAGCAAGGATGTTCTTTGATGTTTGATCTTTGGATACTTTCAAGCCTAATCAACAAAAAGGGAGATTTAATCCGTGAAACAGGGAGTAGCCAACAACCTGTAAGTAATGTCCAGGTGTTAGAAAATTACTTGTTGATAGAATTACATGGTTAAAGTCTAGGGCTGGACATGCTTCAATGACCTCAGACCTGTGGGGAAGTTAGCAAAGCTTCGGAAGAAGGATGTACCATGGATAGTGGGAACAAAGAATACAGAATTTACACAAGGCCACAAGGACATCTGGCAGAATTCCCAAGAAAAGGAAGAAACTAATAAACCCAACTCAGCAACTGTGCTGCATCAGCTCTGACTGGGTGAAAGGTGATTGCGGCAGGGGCAGATCCTGGCCACCGACTCACAGACCACCGAGCTGAGAAACCCACCAACCCAAAAGAAGAGAAAAACTGAGCATGTGGACTAATTAGCATGAGAAGTGAGAGAATAATTAACTAATATTAATTAATAAGAGACTGTGTAACTTGTAGCCTCTGAACACTGATTCATTTCTTTGCTAAAATGTATAAATAGTAAAAAGTTTCGATAGCTGGGGTGCTTGATACCAGCTGGTACCCAGGCTTGCACAACTCTGAAACAAATAACCAGTGTCTGTCCCGAGTGTGTCATTATTGGCTTGTTGCAGACTGGGTAACGAATCCGATTTTTGTGGACAGCACTGTGTCACCTGTTCAGAACACGCTGGCGGGGGTCGGACCGGACGGTGTGCAGCGCTGCCCTGCGGCCCCGGGCTGTGCCGGCTGAGGGGCGCTGGGCAGGGCGGGCTCGGGGGCGGTGCCGCCATCGCTCCCCTCCCTCAGGGCGCGCGCGCCCTCCCCTCAGGGCTCCGCCAATGGCGCGGCTCCAGCTCGCCGCGCTCCCGCAGGCTCAGCCAATGGGAGGCCGGTGCCGCGGCGCGTGCCGGCGGCTCGGCCAGTGGGCGCGGCGCGGGCGGGGCGGCGCTGCCGGCGGGGCGGGGCGGAGCGGGGCGGCCATGGCGGCACTGCCGGTGCCGCTGCCGGTGCTGGCTATGGCGGCGCTGCTGCTCTTGGGCTGCCGCGGGCCCGGGGCCGCGGGCCAGAGGCGGAAGGAGGTGAGACCCCCGCTGGGAGCCCCGTGGGCAGCTGCTGGGGCGGGTTCCTGCCGGGCCAGGGGGGCTCGGGGCAGGGCCCGGCGGGGCGGCCCGGCCTCACAGCAGCTCCCCGCCCTCAGGCGCGGCCGGCTCTGAGGGGAACCCGCGGGCGCGGCTGCGACCGAGTGTCTTTAATTCCAGGTTCTTCGGTTCTCGTTAGGAGCACTGTTCGAGTGTTGTCTTCCTCCTGCAGGGGATTTGGGGCGGAGAGGAGGGGTGGTCTTTGCTTGTAATCACGAAGGTGCAATTTATTTCCACACTTTTGACTCCTAGGGTTTGGAAAGATCCCTCTGTATAAGTGTTTATACTTGTGTCAGTTTTATTTATATATATCTATATCTATTTAATCTTGTATAGGTTGTAAGTCAAAGAAGGGTAGTTTATTATTTTTATTATTATTATCATGGTGGGATTCTTGGGGTTGCCCTGTGCAGGGCCAGGAGTTGCCCTTTGATGGTCCTACTGGGTCTCTCCAACTGAGGATATTTTGTGATTTTTTCCACTGAAGTATTTATCTCAAGAAGGGTTTTAATAAAGAGTAGAGGAGTGCTTTATGGTAAATGTAACATTTGGGAGTCTGTCGGTCTAATACATCTTTGTATAATGTTATAGAATTGGTTGGCTCCTTTTTGAGGAATGTTTTAGTGTTGAGCACTCCTGAGTTCCTCAAATATGTTCTGAATCAAATTTTTTTTCCAGCAATGCTGAAAATGAGATGTTGAGCTTACTACTGTAGAGCTTCTGTCTCTGTTGTTGATTCCACTGCGACAAGTTTTGCAATCTGAAACAGTTTGGTGCTTGGTTTTGAATAAATTCTGCGGAGGGATTGGGGCAGTTTGTACAGCTGAAAGAAATCTTGCAATTAGCAGCAGAAGGGAGGACTAGTGAGCTGAGGGACTTCACCAGCATGTGTCACACTAAGTGCTTAACTCTGTGTGCATTACTGGGTGGTTGAGGTCACGAATACTGACATGAGTGCCAAAAGCATCTGTGAATGCCTTCCAGAGTCTCAGTGAAGTCTCACATCGTCTGGCCCGTGTTGTTAGGAAATACAGCGCACATATTTGTTACATCAAATCTAAAAACCTTCGAGACTGTGCTGTGAGACTGGAAAAAAGAAACGATGATGTTCCTCTGACTTTATTTTCAGATGGTGTTATCAGAAAAAGTGAACCAGCTGATGGAGTGGGCCAGTAAAAGATCTGTTATCCGAATGAATGGAGACAAATTTCGACGCCTTGTGAAGGCACCACCCAGAAATTACTCGGTGATTGTGATGTTCACTGCTCTTCAGCCTCACAGACAGTGTGTTGTGTGCAAGTATGGGCTCCATTTAGTCGTAAATTAGAACTTGAAAGTCATCAGGTGCTTTGTAGGAAATGAAATTTAAGAATAGGGTTGAACTTTCACATGTGTAGGAGAAATATAAATGGCAAGTTATAATAGGATTGTCTTTGAAATTTAATGTGTGGGAATATATGTGTAATGTGTATGTGAAAAACAACATAATCTTTAGTTTTATCTCCCTCCCAAAATATAATCCCTGCATTGCAGAAACAGCATTTACACTGATAACTGCTGGAGAAAGACAGGGTGAAAGCTCAACTTTCCTGGCACGAGCTGCTGAAGAAATGTTCGTAGAATTACTGCTGGCCATACAGCCTAAAAGTTGTTTGGCACTTATTTATTTACAGTTATAATTTCCTGGATCTTTAACCATATTATGGCTTTCCTGTATTAATCTGGAGCTGGCAGAGGTCTGTGAGGGTGATTTTTATACCTTGTCAGTTGAAATTACTGGTTTGCCATCCTCTGACATGGAAAGGAGGGCACACCTGGCCGTGTTTTGGTGCTCTGTGGACAAACAAATGAGGAACAGCTGGGTTTCATTTCACATTTCAATTAGAAATTCCCTCTGCTTGTGGTCACGGGCTCCACAGATCTTGCCCTTGCATTTGAAAAAGCAGCAGTGCCAAATGCTTCACCTGTTTGAGCTAAAACTTTTTCTTAAATCCTGAAAGTAAAACTTCCTTTTTAACAGTAGAAAACTGGGGGGGGGGATACAGCTATTAATAGAGTGGGTGGGCACAGCTACCTCAGCTTTATAACCTGTGTTCTGGACAAACCCATGATACAGCATCTCTCTCACTGTGTTTTCCAGGCAAGCTGATGAGGAATACCAGATTCTGGCAAACTCCTGGAGATATTCCAGTGCATTTACCAACAAGATTTTTTTTGCTATGGTAGATTTTGATGAAGGCTCAGATGTGTTTCAGATGGTAATGTCTTTCTCTTTCTCTTCTAACATCGTTTTTAAACTTGATTTTTGGGCAAGAAGGTAAAGATGTATACAAAATCGAGTGTTACAGTAATTAAAGGAATGAAGGGTTAGAGGCTGCCACTCTCAGAATAGGAGAGCAGAGGACTGGAGCATGGAGTTAGCAGGAAAATTAGCAGAACTGACAGATCTGGAATAGGCACAAGGAATGGATTGGTTTCTCTGATTGTTCTTTTTTCCCCTGAGTTTGTCTCCTGTAATTGTTAATGGAATTCTCCTGTGGTATGTGAAGAGCCAGGATATAAAGCACTGATGTCGTTAAAAACAGCTATTACAATTTTTAAATTAGTAGAAAATAATAGATTAGGCTTTTGGTATGGTTTAACTAATTTCTTTTCAAGTAGCCAGTCATTTTTCTCTTGTATTCACATTATGTTACCACATTTTTTTCTAAATGTGTGAGAACATTCCATGTACACTTGGAATTGTAGGTCACATTAATAGTTCATTGTAGTCTTGTAGATGTTAATTTTTTTTTTTTAAGACATACTAATGTCTATTTAAAAGCTATATTTTAGGCAATGATATTTTAGGAAGTGGAAGCTTTTGGACTGGAGAGTTGAAGAGGGATGTCTTTTTATTATTCCTGTTAATTTTTTCCTTAGTATTAAATTAAAAATGCATTCATCAAGGTATGGCCTTTATAGATTTGTAGAATCATGAATTCCTATTTTGCAGATTTCTTTATTAGAAGTAGAATTTAGAGAAGAAAAGGATTAAAAAAGCGTATGAAATACAGAAATGCGAGCTGTGTGCTGCCTTTACTTTTTTAAAAAAAAGTCATCGTCAGTTAAATTGAGGAGTGACTTTTTCTGATTCAGTGAGTGCCAACGTAGCAAGATAGATGTGGAATGGGATTTTGTTACTGAGACCTTTTCATGGTGCTGTATTCCCTGTGAACTTCCTCAATGCAGCTCAACATGAATTCTGCTCCCACCTTCATCAACTTCCCGGCCAAGGGGAAGCCCAAG